CTAAATTCACCACACCTCTTAAGACCACCACACCTGAATTCATAACACCGTAACTCCCACACCCAATTTCACCACACTGCAACTCATCACACCCAATTTCAACACATGACATGATATCACTAAAGAAACAATATAAAGAAAAAGAGGAAGGAAAATTTAACTACCTAACCTAATAACAATGGTGGGGGTAAATACGTAAATGGAGAAAAGAATGAAGATATAGATCAGGATAAAGGAAAAGATAAATATGAAGACGAAGGTGAATATGAGGATGAAGATGAAGATGAAGATGAAGATGATGAAGATGATGAAGATGAAGATGAAGATGAAGATGAAGATGAAGATGAAGATGAAGATGAAGATGAAGATGAAGATGAAGATGAAGATGAAGATGAAGATGAAGATGAAGATGAAGATGAAGATGAAGATGAAGATGAAGATGAAGATGAATATGAACATGAACATGAACATGAACATGAACATGAACATGAAAATGAACATGAACATGAACATGAACATGAACATGAACATGAACATGAACATGAATATGAAGGTGTAGATATACATAAACATAAACATTAAAAGCGATAGAGACAAAGATAGAGAGGAAGAAAGTGATAGGGATAAAAAGGAAATACAACTGAAGAATGTGCGATGTTATATTGTGATTTGTTATGCTACATATGTTATGTTATTGAATCTAATGCTATTCTATGTTATGTTATGCTAAGTACTAAGCTAAACTCCCCTCCACTTAACCCATTCCAACAAATTTTATTTCAGCTCAACTCAACTCACATAAACTATCCTTAATTTTAGCGGTTGAATTTCAACCGCTGGGCGAACACTAGTTTTAATAAATAGAAATAAAAAATAATAGAAATAAAAAATGTTTGGGTTTTATTTTGGCCATCAGAGTTTAGTTTTTGAATTCACCCGCGATGCAAATTTGCTTAGTTAGATCTAATCTTCACATTTCATTCTTTTTACGAGCTTTGGGAATATTTAGAAATGTATCAGCAGGGGGTCCACCGAAACCAGTAAATGTTTGAAAGCGGTCTACGAGAAAATAAAGTTTGGGAACCTCTGGTTTAAGAACAACAGCAAGACGCACAACAAAAATTGGATGAGAAGCTCGGCCAAACACTTGGCAAAAGTATAAGCGTCAAAATATATTATTATTATTATTAGATAAATTATCAGAGAGCATTTAACTGTAGAGGTTTTAGAAAAATGCATTCTCATTCTATGATTCTTCGCCTGGTTTCGCCTGTATATAGAAGTCCACACAAAAGCGGAAATTTTTTGGTTTTCTTTCACCAGGGGTTGATTAGAGACGATTATTTGGCGGGATATACGGGTTCGAGTCCTCGGGGAGCGGATTTTTTATTCTGTTTTATTTTTTTTTTTAGTTTACTTTTCTTTTAATTTTTAGGTTTCATGACCTAAAAAGAAAAACACTCATATTTTTTTTAGTTTCAATTAATCTTTAGAAACTTGTATTTTATTTTTTATTTTTAGATGTTATTGTTTTAAATTAAAAAAAAAATGTTCTTTACTTCATTAATTTTGAGTGAAGTATTTTTTTTTAGGTTCTGTCAATTCGTCAGAACATTTTTTTTTGTGCATAAATTTGGACCACGTTAACCGATTTTGATGAGTCATCTTTCATCGGAAAGGTGATACATTAAGGGTAATCCAATAATAATTTTGGTTAGTTCCGATAGCTGTATAATGAAGAAATTAACGGTAAACCTAAATTTTTATATGAGAATTGAAG